AGTTCGTGGCCAACGGCGAAAGGAGCGGACGAGCGCGGCTGTCTTGCGTTTCCCCCGCAATCGACATTGAAATGAACAAGTGCGCGCGCGCGCACCCCTTTCGCCAAATCGGTTCGGCCCTAGCTAGCGATTCTAATTTCTCGTAATAAATTAATTGGCCTTGGATCATCGCTACATTCGTCTCTCCTCCTAGCTTACCCATGTTTTGAGCAGCCTGTGAAATTAGAAAGCGATGCTATTACGATGGTCCATTCGCTTTCTCGAATAATAGCAACGCCTATAATTGAGTGGTGGTAACCTGTAGTGGTGGCCTTGAAATCGATTTGGTTTATTCTTTTGTCTCATGTGATTACGATTAAAAGAATGAGCTCGCGTGGAAGGGGATATGAAAGAGCTGAGCGATTAATAAATTAATGACTTAGCCCACTTTTGAGCTCGCTACGCGCACAGCATCGCAGTTGTTAAACTAACGATATTTCGTCAGATTAGTCGCAAGAGGTATTTCGGTAAAGCAACGTTATCAGGATCCTCTCCATTTAAATATCTCCAGTACGACTTTGTTGTTTCTTTTCAGACGAATAACAAGAATTAAAGAGCCAACCGGGTCTTCGAGTCAAACTTTGTGCATAAGAAAATATACGAAATATGATTTTGGGAGAAAAGAATTTATTTCTTGCTTTAGATTAGTCTAACATTTGAGTTTTTCGTTTTTAACTTTATAACTCGTTTGACTTGTTATATTGTGAATAAAATTCACTAACATAAATTATTCGATATTTCATTGACTTATTGCTCGCTCGCATAAAGAAATAATTAGACATTAATAATGAAAAGAAGAAAGAAAGGAAAAAAGAAAAAAGAAATAAAGAAAACACCAAATCATGAATAAAACAACAAACGTACGATCCAAGCTACAAATAAAGAATACAAATCTTTATCTCTTAAATTGCCATTTTTATTCTATGGTACACTTATGCAAAAAAAAAAAAAAAAAACACACAACGGAATGTACGATTATATTACACGAGCCCGGAGCAAAGAAATCCTAATTCTCGCTCTCCACCCGTAAATCTGATTTGGAGTGGTACGGCCCCATTTTTTTGTGAGAACACGTGATATACTTGTCTATATATATCTCTCTCTCTCTCTCTCTCTCTGTCTCTCTCTCTCTCTCTCTCTCTCTCTCTCTCTCTCTCTCATATCTATCTCTCGCTATCTCGTTCTCTTTCTCGTTGACTCTCACTATTAGATGTCAGGTATCGATCGAAGAAGGAGATTTCAGTTGGAGCGCTTCGGGAGTTTGGTGACCGGTTATTATGCGATCGATTTTCTAAGTACGTTCGTTTAAAATTATCGATTACGATTTCAGTGATAGACATGACAAAGCTAATTTGCTTCTAGCTGTAAAGAGTCTTACTATATTAATAACACCATCGTCAGTTATATATGATTTAGCCATAAAAAAATGTTCTTATTTTCAGAGATTACAGATTACTGATTGTCAAATGGATATTACTCAAATTTCTTTTAATACTCGAGTACATCATTTAAATATTAATTGTATGGCACATTTTTACATTGATGTTGCAATTTCATGAAAGTTATTAAAAACAAATGCGACTACCGAAGAACCAAAATTTTTCAAGAATTATACTTTAATGCAATCCAGGCCATTTAAGATGAATTAATTGACAATATTGTACAATTAACGTAGGTTATAACAACTTTCGTTTATAAACCAGCCTTGACAATTTAATATGTTCAAATACTAAGAACTTTCGATTCGTTAAAGAAAACAACTCTTAATTGAACAGTTACAGTTTACCTTACGTGATATGATTTGTGAAATAGAATTTTTAATACAATCAGAAAATACAAACTATATATTTTAAGGCGTATTAATAGTGATTAAAATAGCTAATAGCTAATTAGGAGTTATAATGCGATAACATTATCAAGATAATTAATTTCACTCGACATTTTTTATATATTTCAAGCATTTAAAATACCTATATACAATTACTAAGGGTTATAAAATTTATAAATAATATTTTTTTAATCATAAAGCTATGATTTATTTGAAACTATCATTACAATTTAAATAATTTAATAACACATGCTTGGCAATCAAATAGTATTTCAAAATCCATACAATTTTTAAAATAAACAATAATCAATTTTGCCGTTGCCCATATTTTCATAAAAATTCTATCTATTAATAAAGCGTTACATTTTTAAATAGTATAAGACAAAGATAATTGCCAATCCACTTATTCATAAAGTTTTCTAAAACTGGCAACAATTTTTAAATTTCAAATCAATATTATTATTTAACGACTATTAATGTTAAATATACTTAAATAAATAAAGGAATGCAATTAAATTTGCTTAAACAACTAGCAAAATATTTGCCTCATTTTTAAATGATCGATCTTTTCAGTTTTACATATATCCATGCGTACGTAGTCACGAGCACACACATACATATGTTATGTTTTTGGTTGACCATTCTTGGAATCATTTACTTTAAATGCTTTGAAATGGAAAATTAGTGAAATACTTTTATAAAAAGAAGTTTTAACAATTTGGAACACGTATAATCAACATTTTAAAGAAGAAAGTTCTTTAATATATATATATATATATATATATATATATATATATATAAATAATTAAAGTATTCCCCTATTATTAAATATCACTGCTTTTTTTTTAATTCATAACAGTACAATGTATCGTTTTTTAAATCTGAAGTTACATTGTTAGTATTGCTGAATTATTTTCAAACTAAATATAAATAAAGTTCGCTAACATAAAAAAAAAAACACGATTTCTTTGTTCACAAAGACCGTTGTCATGATGAATGACAATGGTAATAGACTTCAGTTTAATTAGAATTATGAATAAAACATAACACAAATAACGTAATATTTCGCTTATAAGATCCTTGGTCCCTTCACTACTTTCAGAAAACTTTTACTTTAAATATAAATACACTATATAGTTAATAAGATCAGCTTATGTGATATAATCAACAATACATGAATAGACAAATTTATTTGAAAGACTAAAAACATTTAATATAATTATAAATTTAAAATACCATTTATTTATTATATTTTAAATATTTAGGTATTTTATGTATTTCAATATGTCAATTTTTAACCTTTTTAAACAATTTTATTTCATAAATTTATTTTATACACGCTGTGAAAAAAAACATATGTTGGACGTTTTTAAGCATCGATTATTAATCAATTTCAGACAATATAAAAGGGAAATAGTTTAATGAATGACATTGATAAGATATTTATTGATAATGCTGGATCAAGAAACAAAATTCGCTAGTAATAAACTTAAAAGGTTGCACGGCGCTTTTAATTCCAATTGATCACCTTCGACACGACAAGTCACTAAAACCTAATCAATCTTTTATCCGTAACAATGTCTGATTTTAAACTCGTACTCAAAAACTTGTAATTGTGAGTCCAGTTTTGTAAATTTATAAATTTCTGTATTAATTTTGTTAGTTATTGCAAATTTTTGAATAAGCATATTTCCATTAAATATTGATATATATATATATCAATTATTATGAATTAATTATGTAAATTCTCATTATATTACAATCTTTAATTACATTTATTCGTAAATACATTTATTTCGAAAAAAATTATTTGCGATAGACAATAAATGCTTATTTAATATAAATATACTAATAAGTCTCGGTGGTTTTTTCTCTTTATAAGATTACAAATCAAATATTTATTAAAAATATGCCCACTCGGATATATTGAAAATGACTTCTTATTAAACTTGTCTATCCATTTATGGATGTCGGAGGTAATGGTAAGTGGACACTTATTCGTGCATTATATAACCATTAACATAGCAGAATTTGATTGTAACAAGATTGAAATTATATGCAAATATTATAATAGATGGATATATTTTAGCAAAATTAATCTTACGCCTGTCAAATGATAATGTACATATGAACGTTTATATTAAATACAAATTAATCCTTTCCTCTTGACACAGACGCGTGAAAGCTCGAGCACCGTATGTTCGTTTGTAAATACTTATGGATGAAAACAGCATAATTAATAAAATATCTATTTTGACTTTTGTGCGCGCGTGTGCGTACGTTTGCGCGAGCGCATATACCGTAGTATGTTTACACACACACACACACACACACACATATATATATATTTATACATAAATGGGTGTGTATTTTTTATGTATGTACATTTGGCTCTGTGTGTTTATGTGTATCGTAAAATTTAATTAGATCTCTTGCAGGTCTTTCCCATCGACTAAGAAATCTATAGTGAATCAATTAAATATCAGCTTGAAATTTCTACTTAAGCAATATAAATTTAATAATGAAGTTTGATATAATTGCTTGCCTTTCTGTATAATAATAATGTTATAATAAAACACTATCTCTCGAGATATTTAGATAAACTATTTAAAAAAAAAAAGAAAAGTTAAAAGTCTCTAATGCTAAATAAATAATATCTATTAAAAATGGATTATTATATTATCATCAAAAAAACTATCAAATGATAAATGTGTTGAATATGATAATAATTTTAAACCGAATAGATATTTGCTTTCTGCGTTTTATATCATTAGTAAAGGATTTTATTCCATGTTACATGTGTATAGTCTTATCGTAATGTCCTACATTTACATTTAATATTGTTTTTACTTAACACTGGCACATTTTTTGATCATAACAAAAAATATTA